AATCCTCCTCCCTCGCCCTCCGCCCTCGCCCTCCTCCCTCGTCCTTCTCCCTCGCCCGCCTCCCTCCTCCCTCGTCCTCCTCCCTCGTCCTCCTCCCTCGTCCTCCTCCTTCCTCCCTCGTCCCTACTCCCTCGCCCTCCTCCCTCGTCCTCCTCCCTGTCGGGGGGAGTGCACGCATCAGAGATCCTAAGGCAAAGCATGAGCTGTCATATACTTCAGTTTTCGTTCAAGAGAACCTGGAATCTGGACTGGGCCCTGGCCTTTTTCTTGGAGATCTTTGCTAGCTGTGCAATCCGGAGAAGTTGAGTCGATCTGGACCTGGACTATACCGGACTCCACTTGTCATCTCAATATCTTCTTAACTATAACTAGGCGCTGAGGCTCATGGGGGGGAATGCATCGACGCCCACTCGCCCGCTCATCGCCGATAGGGGCCCGACAGCCCACTCCGCCTGGGGCCTCTTGGGGACCCCCGGGGGCCTCCTTTGGGCGTCTTGGGGGGTGGGGGTGTTCAGAGGGAGCCGGGCTGGTGCAGGAGGGGCGCGCTCCGCCCCCCTCCTCCCCCCCCCCCTCCTCCTCCTCCCAGGGCCTGCCCGCTCCTCCTCCTCCTCCTCCTCCCCCCCTCCTCCTCCTCCTCCTCCTCCTCCTCCTCCTCCTCCTGCTCCTCCTCCTCCTCCTCCTCCTCCTCCTCCTCCTCCTCCTTCCTCCTCCCCCTCCTCCTCCTCCTCCTCTCCTCCTCCTCCTCCTCCTCCTCCCCCCTCCTCCCTCCCCTCGGCTCCCCCCCCTCCTCCCCCCAGGGCCTGCCCGCCGCCCTCTCCGACCCGCGCGTGGGCGGCTTCCTGCAGTCCCTGCAGGACTACGGCATGCAGCTGCTGGTGGGCAAGGCCAAGCCCCAGGAGCAGGGGCCTGCAGGGGAGGAGGGGGGGAGGGAGGGGAGGGGCAAGCTGGGCACACTCGCGGCACATCTGGCCTCCTGCCCTTCCTTCCCAGTCCCCTTGCGCCGCTCGTCTGTCTGTCCGCCGACGCGTGCTGCAGCGGAGCTGGAGCTCCCAGAAGTGCCCCATCGTGTTGTGCGCAATCTGAAAAAGGCGGGCTGCGTACATTGGAGGACACGGTGGCGGATGATCAGGAGGATGGGCAGAAGGAAGATAAGGTGATGGAAGGAGGAGGATGAGGACGAGCAGCAACTGCAGGAGCTGGAATGGAAGGAGCAGGAGGAGCATGAGAAACAGGGAAGGCGGAGGAGGGGACGGGGGGCGGGGGTGGCGACAACGATGATGTAGGACTGGGCTGGGATTTAGAAACATGGCCTTCTTTGAAGCAAGAAGGACATTATAAACGATGGGAGCAACGTGCCGATTCGAAACTGAGGCTCACGATGCAGCGGGAACACCACTATGGAAGGATTGAACTCGTTCGGACTTAAAGGACACTTATGGGCACGAGCTCGAACCAATCATGTGTGTAAAAACAGTATGCGGGGCGCGCTACTCTGAGCACTCCTTCGGGTTAGTATGCGAGTCGTATTCGTAGTTTGTATTTGTAAGTTCGCGTGGACCGCAATACGTGTGCGGTGCGGCTATGTGGTGTAAACTCGGCGATGCAATCCACGAGATGCAGGTTTTTGTGGTGTGAGCTCTGTGGTGTAAGGTACGTGGTGCAAACTATGTGGCATGAGCTAACGCGCTCACTGGTGTGGTGTGAGTTAATGTGGTGTAGGCTACGCAGTTTCACCTATTGGTGCGATCTGGGGGGTGGTGTGAGCTATGTGGTGCAAGCTATGTGGTGCACTTCATGTGGTGCGGCCAGTGCAATTTATGTGGTGCGAGTTGTCGTGATGCAATCTGCGCATTGCAATCGATGTGGTGTGAGCCATGTGGCGTAAACTATGTGGCGCTATGCTATGCAAGGCAATGTCCATCACTTCCAACTAATGCAAACCATGTAGCGCAATGACAAGCAGTGCAATGCAATGCCGAGCAATACCAAGCAATGCCACGCAAAGCAACGCAATGCAAGACAACGCAATGCAGAGCAATGCAATTTAATGCAAACCAGTGTAACACAGCGCACACAAAGCAACGCACATTAATGTAATGCAATTCAGCGGAGCGCAACACAATGCAACGTAACGCAAATCAAAGTAACGCAACGCACAGCAATGCAAACAGCGCACAGCAATGGACAGCACTGCAAAGCAACGCAACGCACTGCAAAGCACTGCACAAGCAATGAAAAGCAACGCAAGTCAATGCAAAACAATGCAAAACGATGCAAAGCAGTGAAACGCAATGCTACCAAGCAGTGCAAAGCGATAGAGAGTACTGTTAGTCACGGCGTAGCAATGCAAATCAGCACAAAGCAGTGCGATGCGATGCGATTGCACAGCAGTGCGGTTGCAGTGCCATGGCGAAGAGCAGTGCAGCGTGGCGAAAACCGAGGCAGAGTGATGCAGAGCAGTGCAGAGCAGAGCCAGGCGGTGCCAAGCAGTGGAAGGCCATGCAACAGGCAGAGCGAGCGGCGCCGAGGCGGCGGGCGGCGACGAGGCGACGAGGCGACCGCTGCGGCCAGAGCGGCCCGCAGACCCCGGCGACGGGCGGCCACGGGCGGCGGCGAGTCGAGGCGGCGACGGCGGCCACACGGCGGCCAGGGCGACCCGCAGGCCTCGTCGCTCGGAGGACGGGCAAGAGCCCCCTCATCGTGAGCACTGCCTGGGGGAACCGTGCAGAGGAGCCTCGAGGGGCGCATCGCAGACCTCGCGCCACGGCTTTTTCCCATGGATCTCGAGCTCCGGGGGCCTCTTTTCGGGCCCCGGGGACCCGTCAGAAACGGGTCCGGGATGCAGCATCGGCCGCTCCTCTCTCTCCCGGATGCCCCCGCTTGCTTCCCCTCGCTCTCCCCCTGTCCTTCCCCGGCCGCTGCAGCCACGGCCCGCGAGGGCAGGGCCGCCCAGAGTTTTGCTTCGAGCCGCTCCGCTCCCGGGCCTCCGCTTGCGATGTCCTTCCCATCCGACGCGAGCCGATGTCCTTCTCCGGCCTGCAGGGGTCCAGCCCGATCCGCGACTCCAGGCGTTCAGCTTCCGCGCCGATTCGGGCGCGATCCGGGCCGTTTCTGACCTCCTCCTCCTCCTCCTCGTCCTCCTCCTCCTCCTCCTCCTCGTCCTCCTCCTCTCCTCCTCCTCCCTCCATCCTCCTCCTTCCCTCCTCCTCCTCCTCCTCCTCCTCCCCTCCTCCTCCTCCTCCTCCTCCTCCCTCCTCCTCCTCCCCGATCGCGCCTTCGCGGTCCGACCCATCCAGCTCTCCCCCGTCCTCTGACGCTGGCAGCGTTGTCGTGGCGCTGGCCCGCAGGGAGATCTCGAGCGCGTCGGGGCGCGATTTTTGCCCCCCCCCCCCCCCCCCCACCCCCCCCCCCCCCCCCCCAGCGGTGCACCGAGGAGAGTCGTGCGGTTCGCTGGTCATCGGCTGTCCGCTTTTCTCCCTTCGCCTCACCCCCTCTCTCCAACAGAGAGTTTTTCCCAACCGAACACATCTGATCTCGACGATGAGGAGGGGGCGGAGGAGGAGGAGGAGGACGAGGAGGAGGAGGAGGAGGAGGAGGAAGAGCAGGAGGAGGAGGAGGCGGAGACGGAGGAGGAGGAAGATGAGGAGGAGCAGGAGGATGAGGGAAGAGGATGATGATGGATGATGATGGATGATGATGATGATGATGATGATGATGATGATGATGATGATGATGATGATGATGATATGAGATGGATGATGATGATGATGATGATGATGATGAGATGATGATGATGATGATGATGATGATGATGATGATGATGATGATCTGCTGCTGCTTGCTGCCTGCTGCTTGCTGCTGCTTGCTGCTGCTGCTGCTGCTGCTGCTGAGGAGGAGGGGAGGAAGGACAGGGGAGGAGGAGGAGGAGGAGGGGGAGGCGGAGGAGAGGGATGATGATGAGTAGAGAGGATGAGGCCGGATAATGAGGAGGAGGAAGGAGGAGGAAAGGAGAGGAGGAGGAGGAGGAAGAGGCGGAGGATGAGGGGGATGAGGACAAGGAGGAGGAGGACGAGGAGGAGGAGGAGGAGGCGGAGGAGGATGAGGAGGAGGCGACGGAGGCGGAGGAGGAGGAAGCGGAGGCGGAGGAGGATGCGGAGGCGGCGGAGGAGACGGAGGATGAGGCGGCGGCGGAGGAGGAGGATGATGAGGAGGAGGACGCGGAAACGGAAAGGAATGAGGAGGAGGAGGATGAGGAGGAGGAGGAGGAGGAGGCGGATGCGGAGGAAGAGGATGAGGAGGATGAGGAGGCGGATGATGATGATGATGATGATGTTGATGCTGATGATGATGATGATGATGATGATGATGCTGATGATGATGTTGATGATGCTGATGATGCTGATGCTGATGCTGATGATGAAGACTATGCTGATACCTAGGAGGGTGATGCCGCTGCTGGTGATGACGCTGATGATTGCTGTTGATGCTGATGAGGATGATGATGCTGATGCGGATGATGATGATGATGCTTATAGTGGTGATGCTGATACTGATGCTGCTGCTGATGATGCTTCTGCTGCTGATGATGACGATGACGATGATGCTGATGCTGCTGATGGTGATGATGCTGGTGATGATGACAGTGATGATGATGTTGACGATGCTGATTATGAAGATGATGATGGTGATGCTGATGATGATGATGATGATGATGATGCTGATGATGATGATGATGCTGCTGATGATGATGATAATGATGCTGCTGATGATGATGATGATGATGCTGATGCTGATGCTGATGCTGATGCTGCTGAGGATGCTGATGCTGATGATTATGATGCTGATGCTGTTGGTGTTGAGGTTGATGTTGTTGTTGTTGTTGGTGATGGTGATGATGACGCTGGCGATGATGATGCTGATGCTGCTGATGATGCTGCGGAGAAGGAGGCGGATGAAGAAACATAGGAGGATGATGACGAGGAGGCGGATGCGGAGAGGGA